ACAGGAAAGTAAAAATGAGAAATATTACAGATTTTGCTACATTATAAGAAAAGAACATCATTATAATATAAATATCTCTTTAGATATTTTCTGAACCACTTCTTTTTCATCCATAGAAATGATTATTCTCCAGTATGTTTTAGGACTTATTAAATAACATTTTCCTTGCTCTCAGAGAATTGTTAAAACTCTAGGGAAATTTTCCTAATAAGAATTTTATTAGAATTTGTTTGATTCCCATGAAAATTATCTTATTGAATTTTGGATATAATAATAATTATTATTATTATTAATGTACATTGTGAATTAATGTTAAAGAATCTTTTAATCAAATTGTGCATGTTGTATTCCTAAGTATTCATATTCTCTACATATTTATTTGTAGATGATCATTTGTTAGGAAAATAAATAAATTTGAGATTATGTAAGCTACACTGTGTTACCTGAAACATGTTATATAATTGTGAAAGCACAAATGTAAAACATATAGAGCAAACTTAGATGGATATTTTATATTCAGTGTGGCATAGCAGCCATATTGAATGAGGCCTCATTCATTCTCTTTAATTACAGTTTAACTGTAAGTTTGGAAGTCATTTATAAGTGGTTTGATTTATATATTCATATGCTCTTATAAAATTTAACTGTAACTCTAAAAATGCCCATTTGTCTTTATGGTATTCCCTTTCTGCAAGACCTGTATCCACATTAAGTCAATTTCTCTGCACTTGTGGTTAAACAGTGCTGCCATTTATTCCTTCTTTTCTCAACAAGACATTATTAATTATTATAGCTAAAATTAGTTGGAATAGGTGACTAGATACAGGAAATGGATATAACATACATTTAAAGAGTGACACTTATACTTATCTTAGTTTCTTGCCATACAAAATCCAAGAAATATTGGAGTAAATAGAGCAGACATCAATCAATTTGATTTGTCTACTTGCATGGGTAAGCTGGATGCTATAGTGGGGCAAATAACAGGAAAGTAAAAATGAGAAATATTACAGATTTTGCTACATTATAAGAAAAGAACATCATTATAATATAAATATCTCTTTAGATATTTTCTGAACCACTTCTTTTTCATCCATAGAAATGATTATTCTCCAGTATGTTTTAGGACTTATTAAATAACATTTTCCTTGCTCTCAGAGAATTGTTAAAACTCTAGGGAAATTTTCCTAATAAGAATTTTATTAGAATTTGTTTGATTCCCATGAAAATTATCTTATTGAATTTTGGATATAATAATAATAATTATTATTATTAATGTACATTGTGAATTAATGTTAAAGAATCTTTTAATCAAATTGTGCATGTTGTATTCCTAAGTATTCATATTCTCTACATATTTATTTGTAGATGATCATTTGTTAGGGAAATAAATAAATTTGAGATTATGTAAGCTACACTGTGTTACCTGAAACATGTTATATAATTGTGAAAGCACAAATGTAAAACATATAGAGCAAACTTAGATGGATATTTTATATTCAGTGTGGCATAGCAGCCATATTGAATGAGGCCTCATTCATTCTCTTTAATTACAGTTTAACTGTAAGTTTGGAAGTCATTTATAAGTGGGTTGATTTATATATTCATATGCTCTTATAATGCATTTTAAAAATTCAAATTCATTTTTCATTGAAGTCACAACACAAAGTTTAAATGTTACCTCATGGACACTAATTTTTTCCTCTATAACTAGTTGTGTGAGTCTACATTTCAATTCTACAGTCTTTCCCTTTCTACTGTATTATATCGTGAAAGATTTAAATCACACATTCACAAAATAATTGCCATTTCAAACTGAACTCAGAGCAGAACAAACCAATCACTGCAGTTGCATCAGTGTAAAGCATTTTACTCCTCTACCAGCCGTAGAAGTGTGCACGTTTCCTTCATCACAATGATTATCGCATTACTGCTGCATTTGTGTTCTCCTCCTGAAGTAGACTGAAAAGCATGTGAGGGGATGAATATCCTTGAAGTTCATATTGGATTTTAATAGTCTAACTCAAAATAATTTAAAATGCTAGAATTACACAGTTAAACTAAGTTTTATTCCTTCTCAAAATCCTTGGCTATATTTTGAAAACTGGTAAAAATCAAAACATGCACACACACACACACACACACACACACATTTCATGGCACTATTTAGTCACAGTTCATAACATCATCTAATAAGATGAAAACATATTTATTATTAAAAGTAATATTAAATAAAAGTATTTTCATCTTAATATTTTATTTCTGGTATATACAAGTGAAAGGCAACAGATAATTTGGAGAAAAATATTTCGTACTTCTTGTTTTTAAACATGAAGGCAACTTCACTCGGCTGTAATTTACTTATGGTTAAATGTACTATTGTTTATTTTTTAATATACTCTACTTTAAATGCATATTTTGACAAATGAATATAATTTGGTAATGGAATCAACATATATAATATTATCATCACCCCAAGAAAAATACAGAATATATTCATTACCCCAATGCCTTTTCGTATTCAATTTCTTGGCTACTCTGGCTGTCAGAACAAATTCTGAATTGCCTATCGTGCTGCATTAGATTTGGGGAATTTATAAATAAATAAATATCATATTATGGTAGGTAATATTGTTCTTGCTTCTTTTGCTGGGCATAATGTTTTTAACTGATCCACAGTGCTGTATTTAGCAGTAGCTCATTATGCTTCATATTAAATATATTACTCTATCATATATATTCATGTTCTTGTAGATAAAAATTTTATTTTTTTCATTTTGGGGCAATCAAATATTACAGGTATATTAAACATATATATTATACCACTTTTGCTTATTATCTAGTCCTTTCATATTACTATTTGCTTGTACTTTGTCATATATTTTTGTTCCATCTTTGTTAATTTTGTTTATCAAGATTAGAAAACACGTCCCCATATGTGTATGTACCTTATTAGAAAACGCACTGTCATGTCTTCCTTCAGTAGCTTCCTGAAGTCCTCAATTCTGATGTCCTGTGCTATAATTTTTACCTTGAATGTCCTGCAAATGACCAGGTGTTGGATGCTTGGCTCTAGGCTGTAGCACTACTGGGAGGTCGCAAAATATTTAGGAGGCAGAGCCGGGAGAAGAAGGTTAGAGTTTAGGGGTGTGCCTGGAAGGGGCTAAAAGGATACTTGCCTCTCCAACTTCACTCTCTTTCTTCCAAGTCTCCCTGTGGTGAGCCTCTTTAAGGCACCATGTACACCCTACTGCAAGGTTCACACTCTGACGTGGTGTCTGGTCGAACTGCGAGCTTCAAAGCAGTGGAGCCAATTGATTTCGGGCCAAAACCTGAAACTGTAAGCCCAAACAAATCTTTCCACCTTTAAAGCTGACTGTCTTGGGTCAGTTTTTAAGGTGACTGAGCAAATTTAAACTCCTAATCCCAGATCTTCTTGGTTTTTGTTATACAGATACCAGATCTAGTCAAACTTCCAAATATCACTTTGGTCTCCAACCTACTTGCCTCTTAACTATTGCAGATTTGATTTGTCTGTGTGATTCTTTCTAGCGTATTGTGTTTGAAATAATTCAACGGTTCTAATTCAGTTATTTCCAAATTTTAGATTGGTTGCGCTGCACTATGTAGAAAGTGAAAGCATTTGTTAACAGGTTAGAAAGCAATGTATAATAATGAATACAAATATGAATGCTAAAGTAGAAGCATCCCAAAGAACTAATGTTATATGAGGTTCAAGAAAGACAATGGAGTCCTTGGAATAAACAAGAGGAAGAAGGAATATAATTAGGACAGATGTAAATTTGTTAAGTACAGTTAGTCTTCACAGGAAAAGGTAACGTTATTCACTTTTTCATATGTATGATCACATTTTGAGATAGTATTTTTTCCAGATACAAATGCTACATTCTACACAGCAATATTTTGCAGCACATGCAAAAAGGCATACCTTGAAAAATGGCATTTGCCTTTTTATATATGTATTCATGCTTATATTGATAATATATCAATTGTGCAGTACTAGATTGTTCTACCTTTTTACATCTCAATATTTTTGCTATATTTTTCTTACTGAGTTTATGCCCTATTTATTGCATATTTTTACTTTTCATTATCTATAATATGATTCACCATATTGTCACAAGATGTTACTTTTTATATTTATATCATTTAAAAAATTACCAAACTACAGAACTTGCTATATATCCAAGCACTAGGAAAACAATGTTAAACAAAATATCATCCATTTTGTCTGAATCTCTTGTAACTAATGGAACAAAACTGACCTCATACAAAATACTGCAATTAGAATAATTTAAGTATTTGCTACACAATTTCAATTATAATTTGTTACATTCCAAGATACCTAGTTTTACAGGTTAAATATTAGCAAAATTCACTTACTGTATATTATTAATTCTGGTGATTATTCACCTCCTTAACTCTTATTAACATTTGTCGTATTATGGTTTATTAGTGTTTATGTTAATGTTAAAAAGAAAGGCAATAGTTGTAATAAGTCCAGACTGTGGGGATAAAGATTTGCATGGTTAGAGATATTTAAAGAAATTAGTGAGATTTATATTGTTACAGTCATCTCTATATTCGTACAAATTTTTCATTAGCCATCCCCTTGTAGGACTGATTTCCAAAAATATTTCTGTCATTTGCTATGTACAATAAACCCATATAATAAACCAATAGCAGTAGGACTGGGGAATGTGTTACATGACATTTGTTATTTGACACGAGAAATACATATTCCTGGAGTAGAATTAGAATTAATGGAAAGTGTATTTGTGGAAAATTCTCCCAATCATCAGATACATAAAACTGTAAGGTAGCAATATAGATTTTGTTGATGCTCGTTAAGCTTTAGATTCATAATATCCTCCATAATTCTCCTCTGTTCAGAGCTGTGGCTTTTGGAAGGTGATTGTGTCATTATGATCCACTGATGTATTCATAGCTGAAAGCGCTAAGGGCTGGGGTTTCTGGAAAGATGTGGATTATTCCATCCTTGTGGGTGTGACCTAGAAGGCTGTATTTTGGTTCCTGTCTCCTCTCTCTTTCTTGGCTGCCGTGGGTTGAGCAGCACTCCTGCTGTACATCCTTTTACCATTCTATATCCGCCTTGCAGCCGGCCAACTATGGATTGAACCCTCTGAAAAATGTAAGCCAAATAAATCTCTGCTTTAAGTTGTGGGTGTCAGATGCTGTATCGCAGTGATAAGAAAATGACTACCCCAATGTCTAAATCAATTTTATTGCTTTTCCTATCTGTAATGTAGTTAATAATGCAGCATAAAGTTTAAATGCCGTCTGGGGCTTAGTGTTGATCTCTGTTATGAATAATTTCAATATTTTTAGCTCACAATAATAAATATTATTAATTTGGATTCAATACTATTAGTTCTAGATAGTATTCTTATATCTGCCATTATGTCCAGTATTTTATGAGTTTAATATGCTATTCTGTAGTGCCATCTTTTTTGTTAAAGGACATATCACATTTCTCACAATAAGAAAATATTATCATTTTTCTAAGTATTGAACCCTAAAACTGCACTGGACTGGCATGAACATGAAACTTTGTAGATTTGTTATTTGCCTTTGAGATGATATGTCATAAGAGTCTCCAGTGAGATAACCACCACCTTTTTCATGGCCAATTAGAGCAGCATAATGTCATCAATGTAATAATCTGTGGGATATTCCACAAAATAGCCAGGTGGTGCACATTTTTTCAGACTATATTACGATATCAGATAGTCCTCAGGCAAACAATAAATAGCTACTCTTTTCTACTCTATGTGAATGGGAAATGTTTCTAATTACCCTTTTATGTGAAATAGAAAATAATGCTTCCATCAAACTATTGGCTGTATACAATGTACCTATGCATAATGTGTGCTTAGTAATCTTCTCTAACAATGATGTTATTATTTGCACAGTGGCTGCGATTATAGCTGCTATTTGAGCTCATCGTAGATCACAATGATTCTCCATGATTCATTTTGTTTCTAGAGGATAGAATGGCAAGATAAACAGTGATACGATTGGGACCACTGCTCTTGCATATTTTATGTAAGTGTTTGATGGCAGCGCTAGTTTCTGCCACCCCCTTTCTGAATGTAGTTTGATTTTCATTGTCTCAAAAGTTTCCCTTTGATATTCTGTAATGTAACAACTTACAAATAAACATCAAAGAAACAATGCGGTGAAACTTGCAAGTGAGGTCACATCCATCCCTATTTTATGCCCACAAAGTGGGAAAATGACTGCAAAGTGAATCCATGAAACAAGTGAGCCATTAATAACAATCTATATATTATGTGATCTATGTAAGCTCTCCTTCTGGTAAGTAGATTATGATGGTGGATCGGGTTTCCTGATATCAGATGAGGGCCAAGAGTCCTCAAAATCTCTGGATATTTACTTTCTTTATGGTATAGAGTCATCCAGTAGTTAGAGGTCCTTACGTAAAGGTGCAAATTTCCAATGATTACCAATAAAATTAATAAAAAATAGTTATAGGTCCCTTTGAGAGAATGACTGAAGAATTCAATACTTTTATTCCTATTCTGTTTATCTTGTGTGCCTAGCCACTATAATAAATGTTATATATTTTAAAAGAATTCAAATTTGGGCAATGAGAAAGTTATGCATGATATTTGGTTGAGTTTACTGACCTCAACCTTCTGCTCCTTCATCCCTTCCTTCAGTTATGAATATTAGAAACATCCTTGTTCTCTACCTTTCCATTTTGCTTTAGAAATTTTCAGTTGTAGAAAGTATCTTATCCTTTATGGCTGAGTAGTACTCCATTGTCTAAAAAAAAAACCTACATCTTCTTTATCCAGTCTCCAACTGATAAGCAATTGGGCTGTTTCCAAGTTTTTCCTTTTACAAACTGTGCTGGCATAAACATAGGTGAGCTTCTAGTATGATTCTTTTAATTCTTTTTGAAAGATAACCAACTGAAGAATAGCTGGGTCAAATGGGACTTCTAATCCTAGTTGTTTGAGGACTGTCCATATTGATCTCCACAGTGGTTGCAGCAGCCTGCCCTCCCACCAACAATGAAGAATGGTTCTTTTTGTCCTACAACTCCACCTGCATTTGTCATTGGTTGATTTCTTGATAGCAGCCACTCTTTCTGGGGTGAGGTGAAATTTCAGTGTTGTTTTCATCTGCATCTCTCAAATGATCAGTGATATTGAACATTTTCTCATATGTTTATTTGCTGCTTTTACTTCTTTGTCTAAGAAATGTCTGTTCATTTCAGATGCCCATTTTTAAAATGGGTTTTTATATGGGGAATCTGATTTTTAAAATTTTTTTGTATATTCTAGATAGTAGACCTTTGTCTGAGGAACAGCTGGTAAAAAATGTTTCCCACAATGTGGATTGTCTCTTGGCTCCGCTTGTGATTTCTCTGGCTGTTCAGAAGCTTTTTTAAAAGACGAGATCCCAATGGCTGATTCTTTGTGCTAGTTCCCATGCTACTCAGAATTTCTTCATAAAGTCTTTTCTTATGCTAATGTTTTTGAGAGTTCTACTTAACTTATCTGTTTTACATCAGGATATAATGAGAGTGGTGTAGTGACTGGTTCTCATATATATTATATTATATTATATTAATACTTAATTCTAATCTCTTCTTCTCTAAGGTACCACTCATAAAATGCAATCCCAAGATACTCTCATGGCTTCTCTCATTAAGTGCAGTCCATTCTTATGGCTCTTTTAGTGTGCATTTTTTTCATTCCTTATCAGGGTATCTGTGCTTCCTATAACAAGATATCTGAGCAGTATATTTATATGGTCACATAAGCTAGTTGATACTTAAATTAAAATTGAGCATTATTTATCTTTGAGGAGTATCCCCAAGTCATGAAAATTTCATTCCATAACACCCTTGCCAAGTTCTGGGCAGAGATATATAATAGCAATCTTGTGAAGTATTCTGTTTTTTGGTACTGGGGATCCAACTCAGGTCCTTGTGCTTGCAAGGCAGGTGGAAGAAACACTGAGCTAAATTCCTGGTCCTATATTACCAATCTTGAACATTCCCTTTATTTTCTTAATCTTTCCTGGCCATAGGAAAAGCTAGCCTTGGGTCTTGAAAATGAGTTAGATTCAAATAAATTCAGAGAACAGAAAGGACTTCCCAAGTTAGCAGACAGGTATAGAAAACATGAAATCATGAAATTAGGTGACCGGTTAGCTAGAGAAGAAGATAGGGTATAAAGAAACAAGAAAATTGAAGAGACAGATTTAGAGCCAGATTTCAGATGAAGAAAAGCATCAGATAATGGAAAAATGAAATTGTGTGCTTTAAGTGTCATTCTGGTAAGACGTGTGTGATATCTCTGTAAAAGATAATATTTTGAAATGCAGAAGCTGGTCCTCTGCAGATAATTCATGAAAAATTTCCAGTCACTCATTGTTACTGACTGATTTAAATCTGTGTTTCTAAAAAAGTTCCTAATATCCTATCTAGTATACAATATTATATTTAAACATGTGTCTCCTAAAAAATTACAATTTTAGCTTGACAGGAAAATTGTATATATTTGACATGTTTAAATTTGTTTGGAAATATATAAATATAAATATATATGTATATACTAGACATATACATTGTCTCACATAATTATTACATTTTTAGTCAATTTTAGCAATTTTCAAGAATATATTCTCTTGTTAAATATAATTTTGATGTTGGACAACAGATCTCTGCAGCTTATTTTTCCTATCTAACTAAGACCATGTATTTTTTTATACATTTCTCCCAACCCATCACCTCCCCATTACTAGCTTTTGTTGATCATGATTTCATCCTCTACTTTTATGAAATCAACATTTTTAGATTTCTTATATCAAGAGCTAGCTCAGAAATTTCTCACACATGTCAGAATTGGAAACAGTGAAACTAGTACTATATAAATAAAGTTAATACCTATTTCTCCAGAAATGCAAAAGGAAAACAAAGAAAAATTCATCTATTTGCCTATATAATTATTGATTATTTTTATTGGTTGGCCTATATATAATTATTGATTTCAAATTATTCATGTGCTCAGAAAATTTCTTAACATTAATAATTGCCTATTGGGGTCTAATAGGGGCCAGAGGAATTCCATAATATCTAAATTCCCTCAAATATCCTTAATTTAAATTAATCATAGAATAAAACAATCATGGTTTTGTAATGTCAAAATGATTTCCAGATGTGATTTAAATTTAGGAGTATTACTTTTTGACAGTATAATGTGTTGTCTGAAATTCCTAGACCACTTGAAAACAAGGGTTTTGACACTAAACAGTGGTGTATCTTAAAATATAATTTCCAAATTAACATTTTTCTTACAAAATAGTACTTCTATTTTCATTTTCAAAACTGCTTTTTCTCCATATGAATGAACTTGGTAACCACTGACATACTGCAGACTCTATTGCATATCCTTATAGTTCTTGTTTTTTAAGTTACTTTGAATTAATTTTGAATGTTTTTTCCATATAAAATAAATCAATTAGTTTTCCAACTTATAGGAGATTTTCTTGTATTTAAGTGTGTTTCCATATGGGTTGCTTCACTGACATATAAATGAGAGACAAGGAACCTCAATAGATAGAATCTCTCAACTATGTAGATTAAAACAAAAAATAGGTGCTTTGCTTAAAATCTAGTTTCATTAAAAATATGAGATTTATGCTTAATAGTTCTACAAATTATATCAAATGACTTCTCTCTATATATTCCCAAATTTTTGAAACTATGAGAGCTAGCCTAGTAAACATGACCTTCGCTTACTTTGCAAATGCATAGCAGAATGTGTGGTCTACAAGGTAACATTTGATTACAAAAATCTTTCACAGGGGCTGGGAATTTAGCTCAGTGACGCTACCACCTGCCTCACAAGTGCAAGGTCCAGAGTTTGATGCCCAGTACCAAAAGAAAAAAACAAAAAGATTTTTCCCAAGTTTGGTGAGTATATGAACTTTCATAAGCAAATCACTTTAGATATTCTAGAGAATGGTACTTTAAAATAAAAAAATATATAAATTTGTGCTGCTATGGTTTGCGTGTAAATTTGAGTGCCCCGTACTGGTCCATATGTGAAGGCTTGGCCCCCAGGGTGGCAGTGAGGTGAGGTGTTGTGTCTTTAAGAGGTGGAGTCTACTGGGAGATGCTTAAGGAACTGGGCGTGGAGAAACACTCTCAATGGAAATGATGTTTCCTAATCTCTCTCTACCTCTGCCTCCTTGGGGCTTGTTGTGTGATGGTCCACTGAATTAATTATCTGGGATGTCTAAATGTTTGATGAGAATACAGCAGGGAATGAAAGAATAACATACAAAGGACAAGGAATAGAGAATAATGAATGATAGTTTATTACTTGTGAAGCTGAGAGCTGATCTTAGCTCTACGTTGGCTAAGACCTGATCTTCACTCTCCCTTGGATAAAACCACAGGTTCTAGATTAGTCAATACTTAGGGTTATACAACATAGCAAGGGGTGTGAAGCCAGACATGGGAAATAGCAGAACTAACGCACTAAAGAGTTTAAACATTTAAGCAATTAAAATTTAAAATGATTAAAAATTTAAAACTCATCATCCTGCTCCTGTTTGTACCCCAATCCCACTCTCTAGCAGCAGAAACTCATCTCCTGCTACCTTTCCCAATATTTTATACACGACCTTAATGAAATTATTGTCAGTGAGTTAATATACAGATGAAATCAGTAGCCTGGAAAAGAAAGATGAAGTTTAGAAAAACCTAGATGGGAAAATAGATATAATTTTTAAAAAGAAGTTTAATTGCATAAATTTAAGTAATATACTCAGTATCATATAGAATACTTTCATCATCTCCTCGGTGCAGTAGTTTGGTGACAATAGTAATTTTGACAATAGAATATTCATCATCACATAACCAGCTTTTCTATTGATTTTTATCATATATGCATAGTATTATTATGATAATCTAACAAACACGAAAGTCAGAAAAGTGACATGAATGTATCTAATAATCCATGTATTAAGCAATCAACTCTGAATCAATCATGATGAATATTCTAAGGTTAACTATCTATCTATATATATTTCTTTTTTAATGGTTATGATTATTTCATAATTACACAGGATTTTCGGTATTTTTCATGTTAATTTGATCATATCCTCCATTTTTTACAGTTTTCTTTTCCATTTATTATTGATACACAAGCAATGTATAAATAGGACCATACCAAAAGCAGAGTGCTCAATAATTTTTCAAATTTTTTTCTTAAAGGTATTTTTTATTCTTCTGCTTTCTCTGATGTAATTATTTTCAGGGTCTGTTGTGCATCTGTCAGCATAGAATTATTTACATACATATATAGACATTCACGTGTAATATATAATATTAAAGTATATATAGATGTATGTGCGTATGTAAGTATGTGTGTTCTGGGACAATAGTTCTATTTTCCCAAGATTCCTCTTTAGTTTATTTCTACACTATAGTGTTAGATTACATTATTTAACAATTCTCTGGAAAATTATATGATTTTTATATCTAAAATGCACTCAGTTTGTCATGGTATTGATTTCTATCTTGAAAAGAATGCTTTTGTTTTTCAAATCTTTGGGTAATATTTGCTGTTTTTATTATATTTTTTGCACATAACCTCGGTGATGAAGTAACGGGTTCTGCATTCCCTCTAGAAATCTATTAGACTGCAATCTTCATTTTGATTAGCTAAAATTTCAGTTAAATATGCTCATTTTTAAAATTCTTTCTCTTCTAAATTATTAAACAAAGGTCTATATCATTAATGTGATAGTCGTAAGTTCTTTCTTTGTTTATTGTGCAACTCTAATCTGCCTCTCCACAAATGGGAAGCACACTGTAAATGGGGAGGGACACATTTTTTAAAGCTGCAATTTAAAATGAACGGGGAAAAGAAAGAGGCCTGGAGAAACTGATCACTCCAAATAAATAATTTCATTGCTATGAACATAGGTACTTTCTATAGATCACTATTAGGATGACTCACTTCCTCCTTTGTTTTTCTCTCTTATATCTTCAAATATTGGTTTAACTGATCATTATGGTGATCTGATGTACCATCTATATTCAGAAAGCTACTCCTTGAATCTTTTCTAAGTATCAGTTCTGTTACAGCGTCTTTCCTTACTTGTGCTTTCTCTTGATGCACAGGATATTTACTTATTTATTTCACCAGAGAAAAGTAAACACTTAATCACTCTATTGCCTTAAAGCTGATATCCCAGCTCATTTTATGAAAATTTCCTCAGATATTTTTTCCAAAATAAGTAGTGTCTAAGGAAATAGAATACTATTTAATAGCAGATATAACTGTGAGCATGTAAATGGAAGTAATAAGGCCATTAGCACTTTTGCTCAAATTGTTAAATTGCAATCCATTTTGATAATAGCGAAGGAAAGATGTATCTGAATTAGTCATGTCAGTTTTGAGAATATGACCCATAGGAATGAAAGTGTTTAATGTGCAAAACATTCTCCTTGGGAAGATGTGATTATGTGCTACTGAGATAATAACCTGAGTAGTGTTGGGAGCATGGAGCAGTGCTGTGCTGGCTAGAACTCTGCTCCTCTATGAGCTTCTGGTTGCATGTCAGAGTGAGAAAACGTAGCAATTGACAAGCATTGACTTGAAGCACTAATTATCGCAGAGAAAGGTGTTCTACCATTGGGTGCAATAGGAAGAACTTGAAAGGTGGTAGCGGTAGCAGGGGCAAGACATGTGATGAAGCGTTTTGGTTCCTGCTTTTAGATCATTGTGTAAAGAGATTTTTAAAAATTCTAGTCATATATCATGCATTGAATTTAGTATATACTTATAAGCCATTTATTTTATAAACTATTTACATATTTATTTCTTACATTTTGAAAAACAAAATTTCCATTTACAAATTATGATTAATTATAAATTATTTTATTTATAGTTTTAATTCACATACAGTTGAAAGTTATAGTACATGAGGTTTCACATATGATTTTCTGAGTTTCACCCAATTGTGATATATTGGGGAAGTATGGAATTATGGTAGCATATTATCATTAACACAACGAAGATAGAGAAATTGAAAAAAATTCACTCATTTTGTACATTACTGTGACTTCACAAAGAGAGATGTATAAGATCTTAGTAGATTTTTTTATGTCATAATTTACCAGTGACTCTGGAACCAAATTCTATAAAATTCCTGTAGTCTTTTTTGCCATTTTTCTACACATCTGAAAAAATCAAAGAGCTCTCTTTAGTGTTTGATAGTCATCAGTTTCAAGTCATATAATCTTCTGGATTCCAGACCTCACTTTTGATTCCAGGATTTTTCGATGGCTGTCCCCATAACTCATTCTTCATAAACTCCCATCCCATTGTATGCAGTGTGCATTACAACTTTCCTGGCAAGTAAAGTGTCTGTTTGGATAAACTTTGCTCAGATGCAATTTATTTATTTAACCATCATTGGTTCTGCTAGTGTATATACTGTAAGAAGTGCATCAAAGGCCAGGGATTTAGCTCAGTAGTTCTGCCTCCTGCCTCGCAAGAACAAAGACCCAAGTTCAATCCCTGGTACCAAAAAGAAGTGCATCAAAATATATGCAAATATTCAATTTTCAAATTAATATTATTGGTACATTTTAGGTATATGGTATGATCTCAGTCATCGTGGGAATTTGTTCCTATACATGATTTTTCTTAGCTCTTCGTTTTTCCCATTCCTCTTCCTTCCCTTCCACCCCACCACCCCTCCCTAATTTACAACAGCTTTTCTTCATTTTCCCCTTCTTTTCTCATTCTTCTTTCCCTTCTTTCCTTTTCTCTATGCCCCCTACTTCCCCTTCCCCTTTGAACCTTTGCTTCTGATTTCACATTATCTATTTTACATTTTGGTCCTCCTTTACACTTTCAGTTTTTCACACCAGAGAGACAATTTGGTATGTACACGTGTGTCCTATTTATTTCATTTAAGAGTGTGGCCTCAATATGCTTCCATAGAGCTATAAATGTCTCTAGTTTATCATTCTTAATGGCTAAGTAGTACTCCATGTTATAAAAAAGGGCCACAGCTTATTTATCCAGTCACCACTTAATGGGTATTTGGCTTGTTGTACTATGGAGACTAAGAGAATAACACAAAAAAATCACTGAGGGCTGGGGATTTAGCTCAGCAGTTCAGTGGCCTGCCTTGCAAGTGCAAGGACCCGAGTTCGATCCCCAGTACCAAAAGAAAAGAAAAGAAAAAAAAAGCAACAACAACAACAAAATCACTGAATTGAAGAGTTGGTTCTTTGAAAAAATAAATAAAATGAACAAACCCTTAGCCAACCTTATCAAAAAGAAAAAAGAAAAGAAAAGGCTCAAATACATGCATTTAGGTATAAAAAAGGTGAAATTACAACAGATCCAGTATAAATTCAGAGGATCATCAATACCTACTTTGAAAACCTATATTTTCATAAATTGGAAAACACAGAAGAAACAGACAGATTCCTAGTTACATATGAAATATCTAAGTTTAACCAAGAAGATATAAAGATTCTAAACAATGCAATATCAATCAGTGAAATTGTAACTGTAATTGAAAACTTAGCAACAAAGAAAAGCCTAGGTCCTGATAGCTTCACTGTTGAATTCTACAAGAAATTTAGAGAAGAGTTAATGCCACTAATCCTCAAATTCTTTAATGAAATTAAAAGGGAAACAATACTTCCAAATTCATTCCTAGAAAAAAATCATTGCTTTGATTCTAAAAGCTGAAAAAGACAACCAAAAAAGAGAACTACAGGCCAATCTCCAATAAACATGGATGCAAAAATATTCAATAAAATACTCACAAAGGGAATGCAGAAGATCATACACCCTGACCAAGTG